GGCGCGGGAAGGGGCGGGAGCGGGGGCGGGGGCGACGTCGCCCGGGCCGGCTGGGACAGGGGCGGAGGCGGAGGCGGGAGCGGTGGCGGGGGGCAGGGAAGGAGGCGGAGGCGAAGACGGCGGCGAAGGCGGCTGCTGAATACCCATTGGAGTGAAGCTGAGGAGCATCACTGCTCCAAGCCACCCCTCGGCAAGGTGTTGCGCGGACCGTCTTCGCGCGGGCCATCAGGGAAGCCTGAAAGGCTAAAGTCGCGGATGGTAAGTCAAGAAAGACAAGGACATGCGTGCATCATGCATCCCACGGGGCACCGCCGACCATATAGGGAGCCTACAGAGCGATGGCTTCCCCGACACTTCCACAAGCACAGGTGCTGAGAAGCCGTCCTGGTAGATGCACATCGGAGACAAAGCCTCGAACAGCCTCCACGCGGCCCCAGGAAGACCCTCCCCTGTCCTCCAGCGACAGCCTCCCCCAGCGCGCCTCTGCCCCTGGATGGTCACCTGCTTCGACACTTCCTGCAGATTTGCAGATGCAGACATGTAGAGAGGCACATGTGCATAGGCGTACGGATGTGGGCAAATGCGGGCACGTGGAGCATTGCTGCGAGCCCCAACCTGGGATCGATTTGAGCGACGAGGCGCCCAAATACGGACCTGGCCGCACATAGCGCACGCGACACGACACGCAGCACATGGCAAAAATCTTTCTGGGTGGGACGACTGGCCCTGCCACCGTACCTCAATTTGGTCAGGCCTGCGCTCAGCCCGGCTCGCCCGCACCACCGACGTGTGCCGGCCCCTCCCAAGAGCTGCACGACGCAGGCCAGAACAGGCATGGGCACGGGCTCCAAGAAGCCCCCAAGAGGCCCCAACGAGGTCCAAGAGAGCCCCAGAAGCGGTCCCAAGACAAACCCGAGGGGGTAAACTCAATGATGTTCGCCGCCGTCGCCGTCGTCGTCCCCCCTCAGGGTCAGTTGGCATCAGCCGCCAGGCCTTCACGATAGGCATGGGTACGGGCTCGTATGCGATGGAAGGCCTCTCCTGCGACGCGCTCGTCAGCGCTCGAGCAGCGCGTGCACCAGTCCAACGGGACAGTCGATGCCCAGCCACGGGCGCGCGCCCGGGGCAAACTTCGGGAGAGGAGCGGCATCCACCCCAACGCCTGCCCCCCGGCTTCCTCGGGCTTCGGTCGGCGGTGCGCCCCGGGGAGAGGTGAGGCGGAAGGCCTCCTCAGAAGCCGGCAGGGCTGCTCAGAAACCCCCGCGCCTCCTGAGAGGTTCGCTGCGTCTTCTGGGAAGGCTGAGGAAACTTCTCAGAAGGCCCGAGGCCTTCCGAGCCTTCTGAGAAGGCCCACCCCTTCTCGGACGCCCAGTGGTGTTCGGGTCATAACTCGGCTCTCCCGCGGCCGTTCGGAACGATCCAGGCACCCCCATCACGCCCTCGGCGAGGCGCAGTCTCTGGAACGCACCCCGAGGCTGGAAACTCGCCGAGAACTGACGACGACCCCCGAAAACCTCGAGCCTCGAGCCCGAAAGTCCCGAAAACTCCCCCCAGGGCTCGCCCCCGACTCGGGCCACCCAAACTTCGCGCTCCGCACCCCGCGATGCGTGATGCGCGACTGTCTTCGTGCCTTCGCGCCGTCCCCCTGGACAAGGGCGGCCGCAGTGACCCGGACCGCGATGCGCGAGAGCGCGACTGACTCCTCGATCTGTGCGTGCCATCCGACTGATCGGGTGTTGCTAGAAGCACCCCTGGCCCAAGGTGCCAGCAGGATTGTAGGGGTGGCCCAGACGGCCTCCAGAGCACCCCTCTCGAGGCCCAGAGGGCCCCAGGGGCTCCAGAATGGAGCGAAAAGCTGGGGGCACCTTGGGTCAAGAGCACTTCTAGCAACACCCGATCTGCTGCCCGTCAACAACCTCCCCCGGGCCCCCCGCCCGGACAAGCGGAACGTCCTGAATGGCTGGCAGGGCCTTGGTGTGGGCCTTCGTCCCCGTCTTGTGCATGCAGGGCTTCAGCTGCTCAGAGTTGAAGGCCCCGATGCCGGCGCCGATCGCGAACCACCAGATCCCTGGGCGGGCCGGCTGGCGTGGACAGCACCTGCCCAAAAGAGCCCCCCCCCAGCACTCAGAGGGATCACCGATGGTCGAGGCAGACAGCACCGGAAGCACTCAGGAACTGAGACCTCATGCGCCCCCCCGCCCCGCGTCGAACCTGCCCCCTGCGGAGACCGCCCGGGAACCCAGTGGACCCAGCTGGGCCCGTTCGGAAACCACTGGCTGCACACCACAGCATCTGGCCAGGTCTACCAGGCGCCCTGGCAGGACTGGTGCAGACCCTCCTGGCCAAAGGCACGAGGGCCTGTACACCAGCCGAGGGCCCAGGCCTGGCCACGACCACTGACCTCCGACGACTGGAGATGTTCGAGCCTCGGGGCACGGGGTCTATCGACCCTTTCCCTCGGGACCGGTGTTCGTCCTGGGCCGTTTTTGGAGTCTCGGGGTCCGAGACCCGAGACTGGCCTCGGGAGGCCGAAGGCGCAGAAGAGCCTGAGGCTCCTTGAAGTCTCTGGAGGTCTGGGTAGCTGCTGGGTTCAGGCCCACTGGGGGTCCCAGGGGATATCGGGGGGCCGTGAACGGCGCCTAGGACCTAGACGACGACGAGAGGCTCCAGGCGACACACGACCGCTCGGGATGAGGGGTGAGGGAGGAAAGGAAGGATAAGGAGGAGGGAGGGGAGAGGAGAAGGGAGGGAGGAGAGAGGAGGTCAGAGGAAGAGGAGGAGCAGGTGGGAGAGAGGAGGAGGGAGAAGGAGGAGGAGGAGGAAGAGGAGGATGGGGAGGAGGAGGAGGAGGAGGAGGAGGAGGAGGAGGAGGAGGAGGAGGAGGGAGGAGAGGAGGAGGAGGAGGAGGAGGAGGGAGTAGGAGTAAGAGGAGGAAGAGGAGGACGAGAGACTAGAAGGAGCGAGGACAGAGGCGGTGAGGGGAGGAGGAAGAGGAGGAGGAGGAGGAGGAGGAGTAGACGCAGGAGGAAGAGAAGGAGGAGGAAGAGGAGGAGGAGGAGGAGGAGGAGGAGGAGAATGAGGAGGGGAGGAAGGAGGATGAGGTGGAGGAGGAGGAGGGGGTGGGTCCTCGTTTGGAATCCACAGCGCTTCGCGTCTCCTTCCTGCTTCCTTCCCCCGCCGACCTAAGCGCGTTCGTTTACAAGAGACCGTGGCCGCCCGGACCTGAAATGTAGTTGGCACTGTGGCGAGAGCACGACGCCTGAATCCGCCGACCTTTCGGCGTGTGTGAGACGCTGTCGTCGTCTTCGTCGTCGTCGCCCACTCTCAAGGAAGTCTAGGAACGAGCAAAGAAAAGCGACGTCGTAGTTCAGTCGACTCCCTCCCCTTGTCCCCTGCGTGACGGGGGCGGGGGAGGACAGGGGGGGGGTACGGGGGGGGGGTACGGGGAAGGACGGGGGAGGAAGGGGGAGGGGGGGTCCTGGGTCAGATTACTGCCCCCCCAGGGGCCCTCCCTCCCCTCCCTCCCTCCCCTCCCCTCCCCGCCGGGGGAAGCAGCGTGGGGGGAGGGGGTCCTGGAGAGGAGTCTCAGGAGAAGTCCCGTCTGTGGTGGGGGAGGGCGGTCCTGGGTTAGAACACCGCCCCCCCAAGGGTCCAGGCGGGTCCCGAGGAGAGGCGCCAACGGGGGTCCCCGGGGAGATCGGCGGCACAGGCCGCAAGGCCTTCACAATAAATGGTTGGGAAATCTCAGGCGAAACGGCTGCAGGACCGGGCGTCCTTGGGCTCTGCGTCCCCACTGCGGGATTCTCCTGTGGCTCATGTTAACCGCGATTGGAAACCTCGAGCGAAACGCTGATGGTGAGAAGAAGATCGAATGTTGTATATACCCTCGGCGCTAACGCCCTGATCCTTGTAACTCCCTCCTCTTTGAAATGGACGTGTCTCTGGTCGCACCCCACTCCAGGATCCCTCTGTCCGTGCACAAGGCCGATCATACATGGGCACCTGTCCGCTCATGCCATTGCACGGTGTGAACACGCTCCAAAATTGCGAACGCGCTCATCCGCGTCTCCAGCTTCCGAATTACCCTTTGGTTGAATAGTGTCCGCGTTTCGTCTGGTCGATGCCGAAACCAGAATGTTCGGATCAAGTAGTGTCTCTCCCAGAATACCACCTCGATTAAAAAGTCCTTATACCACTGACATACCGCGAGGAGGGATGTTGCCGAACACCGCGGTGACCCCGAGAGTGCTTGCAGCTTCAACTGCACCTAGTGCCTGCTACAGGTACTTCGCACATTTGTTGAAACACGTGCATCCGTTTGCAAGCTGTTGCCCAACCGAACTCTTCCGAGGGTTCACTGCGCCAAGAAGACCACCAAGAGCAATCGCGTAAGATTCATGCAACGCGTCACTCTCCGCTTGCATCGAAAGCCGACCACCGCGAAAAGGAGTGCTTGTCAGAACTGTACAAAAAAATGCGGGCTTCCAGACCCAATGATGTTTGTTTAGCCGGAATATGGTCAGGCCACTAATCATGTAGCAAACTCGTCCATGGGTGTAGCTTCCCACAGAACAGCCAGAATGTGGCAACCGTTTCATTTGACCGCTAGACCGAAACCTGATAAATCCCGCCCCCGAAACATAATGTCTAAGCACCCCTCGAGCACGCAAACGAAGATGTGCAGGTCAACCTCCCCTCCAGTTCGCAGCCTTCCTTGGACATGATTAAGGGCACGGTGGTCACAGACCTTTGGGATAATGAGCTGCACCTCGCTGTTCGCCATCTCCTTCGCCGCCGCTAGCCACTGGAGCGGGTCAGTTAGCGCCAGTCCCCGTAGCGCTCGAGGACGTCCAAATGGCGGACGGAATCGCATGCATTACGGACATCCTTCGAACCGATGAGCAATTCGCCGGCCCAACGGGCCAGAGGCGTGCTTGATCTCGGTAATGTCAACAATATTTCTAGTTCGCGCGCGCGGGGCGGGCTGGGGGGTTCCCGGACGAAGGTACCGGCATGGTCCCGGCAATGTCTGGCAATTGGTCGGCAAGGTCCCGGCAGACTCCCGGCAAGGTCCCGGCAGACTCCCGGCAGACTCCCGGCAAGGTCCCTTTTCGGAGCCCAGGACGGCTCCAAACGGTCTAAGAGGGGCCCGAGAAGCCCTCCAGACGGTTCAAGAGAGCCGGGAGACGCCGAAATATCACTCCCAAACGCCTGCGATGGCCTCAAGACGGCCCAACAGGCCTTCAAGACGCCCCAAGAGGTCCCGAAGCGGCGCCCCAAGAGGGCTCCCACAAGCAAAAATCGTCGCATTCCCTTAGGAAAACGTGCATTTTTTACATATCCGCCTCTTCGTCTTTCACACCTTTCAAGGCGGTCCAAGAGGCCCCCAAGATCACCCCAAGACGGCCCGAGAGACCCTCAAGACCGCTCAAAGACGGCCCAAGAGCGCTCCAAGAAGGCCCAAGAAACCCTCAAGAAACTCTTTTTCGGAGCCCAGGAGGGCTCCAAATCGGTCCAAGAGGGGCCCGAGAAGCCCTCCAGACGGTCCAAGAGAGCCGGGAGACGCCAAAATATCACTCCCAAACGCCTGCGATGGCCTCAAGACGGCCCAACAGGCCTTCAAGACGCCCCAAGAGGTCCCTAAGAGGTCCCTAAGCGGCGTCCCAAGAGGGCTCCCACTAGCAAAAATCGTCTCATTCCCTTAGGAAAACGTGCATTTTTAACATATCCGCCTCTTCGTCTTTCACACCTTTCAAGGCGGTCCAGGAGGCCCCCAAGATCACCCCAAGAGGCGGAGAGACCTCAAGAGCTCAAAAGACGGGCTAAGAGCCTCAAGAAGGCCCCAACAAACTTCAAGAATCTTTTTCAAAGCTCCAGGAGGGTCCAATCGGTCCAAAGGATCCAAAGGGGCCCCCCGAGAAGCCCGACGAGGAGGTCAGAGAGCCGGGAGACTTCCAAACATCACCCCAAGTCCATACGCGGCCTCAGAGGCCCCAGGCTTCAGACTCCCAAGAGGTCCCGAAGCGGCTCCCAAGAGGGCTCCACAAGCACAAAAAAAACCGTCTCATTCCCTTAGGAAGGTCACAAGAGGAGATTTTTTTAATATCCGCCTCTTCGTCTTTTCACACTTTAAAGGCGGTCCAGCGGCCCCACGATCACCAAGACGGCCGGAGAGACCTTAAAGGCCGCTCTGGGACCGCAAGAGCGCTCAAGAAGGGCCAAGAAACCCTCAAGACGGTCCAAGAGGCCCCAAGACGGCCCCATGATTGAGGTCCACAGGGGCAACCTGAACGGAAATTTTGAGCCTCCCGCCCAAACACACCCCCGGAATGCCCCTAAAGCCCCCAGGTAGCCCCACGAAGCCCCCAAGAGAGCCCCAAGAGGCCCCCAACAGGCCGCAAGAAAACCCCAAGAGGCCCCCAAGAGAGCCCCAGGAAGCTCCTAGGAGGCCCCCAAGAGGCCAGGCAGACCCCCCCAAGAGACCACCAAGAGGGCCCACCCAGAGCCATCCACGAGGCCTCCCAAAGTTCCCAAGAAGCTCCCACGAAGCTTCCAAGGGCTCCCAAGACCCCCCAAGAACCCGCGATGGCACAATACGGGCCGGCGGAATGAGCGAAGCGATTCAATAAACCAAGTTCCCAAGTATATGCATGATTCAGCGTCTCGAAAACCATAGCAAACGCATCGTCCACTGAGCAACCCTGATGACACCCGAAACTGCATGTCCGAGGTGCTGGCCGCATTGGCCGCATCGTCGATGCAAACATAGCGGCTCCATGATTCACCGCCGTACGAAGTCGTGCAAGCATGCTGGAGCTCAAGTGTTGGGGAAATCGCGAAACTGAGAAGACGTCCGGGACTAAACGGCTTCACTCTGCCCGTCCACATCGAGAAACGCAGCACGAAGATGCCTACAGTCGGAGCTAAATGTCAAAATAGAGAAGGGGTCCAAGATTGACCGACTAAGACTAAGCCGTCCGGACCTGGGGCCGACTCCTGCGAAAGCTCGGCGAGCTGCTCGCACGGATCGTCGAGAAAATGGCGATCCAAAGGGTACGCCGTCCAACCTGTTTGCGTGCGCACGAGCCCGAAACAGATCTGTATTCATGTTGCCACTGATCCTGGCGACTTCGCACGTCTCCGAACTCCTGACGCGCAGCATATTGCATCTCCATCATCCACTCTGGCTTGTTTTAAGAGAAACTCCGGACAAATGTTAACGCGATGGGAAGGGGAACATATACGGCTGCCTTTGGCAAGAGCATTTGATATACTTCCAGCTCTGTTTGCACTCTACCTCCTTGGTTCCCTCCCCCCTCCATGAACGTGCGGAGCACGTCCAGATGCGTCCAGAAAAGCAATCGCCAGACATCCAAAACCTGGACGAACAGTTCGGCGCATCCACCGCTTCCACACGCCACGCCACGCAACGCCTTCGGCCTGCAAGCCGGTTTCAGCCGGCGGGCCAGCAGGCGGTACATCTCGGTAGTCTATGCACAACCTGGGGGGCCGCAGAGATGGACAGGGAAGCCCCCCCGGCTGGCCCCCCCCGCCGCCACACTCTGGTCGGACCCCAGGGGAGAAGGCGGGGGGGGCAGGAAGTAAAGACAAGCTCGCATGTCAGCTTTTACCCCGTCGAGGCTCGGTAGCGGTCCACCGTCCTCGGTTTGCTCGACTGTTCAGAAAACAGTTAAGGTAATGTCGGCCATGGTTATGCCATCCGCTGCGACCCCCGACGCGCAATCATCACGCGGATTCGGCTGCAAACTCTCCAAGAAACAATGCTCAACTGCTTTCGTATGCTGCAAAGGTTGCGCAGAAAGCGGTGGTGATGGTACAGCCTCGGCTTCGCTGAAGTCAACCATCATAAGCGCACATTTCTCACCATCATCAGCATCATATGTTTTAGAACCGTCATCACCATTACCACCATGACTACCATCATCGCCACCACCACCACCACCATCATCATCATCATCATCATCACCACCATCATCATCATCATCATCATCATCATCATCATCATCAACAACAACAACAACATCATCATCATCATCAACATCACCATCACCATCACTATCATCATATCCGTACTCTGACATTGCCCATGTACCCCTCCTCTCTGGCCTCCGCCACCACCCACCACTCCTTCACCGTCTCCTCTTGTCCTTACTCCTCCCGGTCCTCCTCTGAATCCTCGTTTCCCCCGTTTCCTGCTCGAGCGGAGGAATCGCTGTATGACGAGACGCGCCCAGCCAACCCGTGAGTTTCAGCAAGACCGCGACAAAAAAAGCGAATTAGCCTGACGAAAGACCCAACCATACGTAGTTGTGAATACCGCAATGTGTGGGGGGTGTGCCAAAATGGGGCGGCGGCGCCATGCGAGTTGCGCCACTTGGACCTGAGATGGAGCTCCCTGTGGGGCCACGGAACGTGTGAGGGGTGTGCCAAATGGGGCGGCGGCGCCATGCGCACTGCGCCACGGGGACATTAGGTGGAGCTCCCTATGGGGCCACGAAACGTGTGAGGGGTGTGCCGAAATGGGGCGGCGCCGCCTATGGGGCCACGAAACGTGTGAGGGGTGTGCCGAAATTGGGGGTGTGCGAGCGCAGCCACTGGGGCCTTCGGTGGAGCTCCCTTTGGGGCCACGAAACGTGTGAGGGGTGTGCCAGAATGAGGGGTGGAACCGCATGCGAGCGCAGCCACTGGGGCCTTCGGTGGAGCTCCCTATGGGGCCACGAAACGTGTGAGGGGTGTGCCAGAATGAAAGGTGGAACCGCATGCAAGCGCAGCCACTGGGGCCTTCGGTGGAGCTCCCATATGGAGCCACGAAACGTGTGAGGGGTGTGCCGAAATGCGGGGTGGAACCGCATGCGAGCGCAGCCACTGGGGCGTTCGGAGGAGCTCCCTGTGGGGCCACGAAGCGTGTGAGGGGTATGCCGAAAAGGGGGGTGGAACCGCATGCGAGCGCAGACGCTGGGGCCTTCGGTGGAGCTCTCTATGGGGCCACGAAACGAGTGATGGGGTGTGCCGAAATGAGAGGGGGGGTGAGACCGCGTGCGAGCGCAGCCACTGGGGCCTTCGGTGGAGCCCCCTATGGGGCCACGAAACGAATGAGGGGGTGTGCGAGAATGGTGGGGGGGGGGGGGGGGGGCGCGCATGCGAGCGCAGCCACTGGGGCCTTCGGTGGAGCTCCCTATGGGGCCATGCAACGTATGAGGGGTGTGCCGAAATGGGGGGTGGAACCGCATGCGAGCGCAGCCGCTGGGGCGTTCGGTGGAGCTCCCTGTGGGGCCACGAAACGTGTGAAGGGTGTGCCGAAAAAGGGGGTGGAACCGCATGCGAGCGCAGCCACTGGGGCCTTCGGTGGAGCTCCCTTTGGGGCCACGAAGCGCGTGAGGGGTGTGCCGGAATGGGTGCAGGGGACGCATGCTGATGATGATGATGATGATGATGATGGCGGTAATGGTGATGGTGATGATGCGGAGGATGGTGATGATTATGTTGATGATGATTATGCTGATGATGCTGATGATGATGATGAGGAGGAGGTTGACAATGTTGATGATGATGGTGGCGATAACGGCGATGATGATGGCGATGATGGTGATGGTGACGATGACGACGATGATGACGACGACGATGATGACGATGACGATGACGATGATGATGATGACGATGATGATGATGACGGGAGGAGGGGGGAGGGGGGAGGAGGAGGAGGAGAGGAGAGGAGAGGAGGACGCGGGGCACCGTCTCTTCAAAACGAGGACCCAGCACCACAGAATGGCTGGGAAAAAGAGACAGAGAGAGAGAGAGAGAGAAAGAGAAAGAGAGAGAGAGAGAGAGAGAGAGAGAGAGAGAGAGAGAGAGAGAGAGAGAGAGAGCACGTCTTCATTCCTTCTACTGGGGCCCGCGCGCGGCCGCGGCCAGAGCGCCAAGCGGCTCAGGGGCCCCGCGAGCCAGCAGCCGCAGGGGCAGGGAAGCGAGTGCGAAGCACGGGAGGAGGGGGGGCTGAAACCGGCATGACAACCACACCCCCTAAACTTTGTTTCAGCCGATGCCTCAGCCGACGCCTCAGCCCTGGACCAGCTTCTTATTCAACCCATCCCTCCGGCAACCCGTGACGCGCAGCCGCGTGGACACACATGTCGATGGAGGTGTTTCCAGGGGAGACCCCCCCCCCCAATGGCCATCATCTCTCTCGCCGCGATCGGGCGCAGACTCGCCCGCAGCTTCTCCCATTTATACCCCGAAGCTCCTCGACTCGGATGCGGTCGGGCAGCGGGGGGCCCCAGTCCGCTCGAAGAAACGGGGGCAGCTGCGCCGAGCTCGACGGCACACCGCGGAATCCACCGCTCTTCCTTGGGAGCGAGCACGGGGCAGAGAGATCCGAGATCGGACGTCGTCTGGTCGGCGTCCTCGATCGAACATCCGAGCGAGCGCGCGCATTCGGGGATGCAGTTGAGAAAGCCTTCGCCGTGATATGCATCCTGGCCGTGGGATGCCAAAGCATGCGTGGACTCCTTCTTCTGGGCCTTGTCGTAGATCTCTCATCGTAGTTGTGTGGGCCCAGAGCTTGACGACGTAAATGCTGCCTTCGTCCTGGCACCGCTGCCGATGGACATGCAGCTTAGGATAGCTCGCACGTCGCTGGCGACCGACCTCCACCTCGAAGATGCACGAATATAGTTGCATCCCGGGGCCGACGTCTGACGACTGGTGAACCATTTAGTGAGCACAGCTGCCGCGGCGGCATTGCCCTTCGCAAGAAGTTCCAGACGCGTTGTCGGTGCTGGAGGGCCCTGGCCTCAGCAGGTACGTGCCACGCATATTCCATAAAAGGGGCCAGGGCTGACAGGTTTGCGCCATGGCGCGCTCTCTGAAAGTCCGACTTCTTGTCGTCGACAAGGGCGGCGCCCTGCATCGTGTCCATGAGACTCGTTATCGTCGTGTCGATAGACCACTAGTGCCCTGTCGGGTATGCGATTGGATCATGTTCGCGGGTTCAGTCGGCCTCGGCATAGAGATGATCCCGAGTAAGACTGGAACCAACTCCAAATCGAGCACCCGCGAGTGAACTGCCAGAGTCGCGACGCCCAAAACGCTCGCAGCGCGATGGGCATCAACTACGTTGTTTCTCGTCACGTCGACCTTGGCACATGTCTCCCAAGCGGGACTCATGTTCTCGAGGGCGGCCCTGTCTCGCTCGACGATCGCATGGCTATTCTTCCAACGCGCGCAGATTTACTGTCCGGCGGGCCCGGAAGTAATCTGGCCCTTCTCGACTGGCAGGTCCTGCAACAGCGCGTACGGGAGATTGCTCGAGGCCCTCCAGAGCAATCAATCGTGGCCTCCTTGAGCCTTGATAGCTTCACCAGCTGGCGGAGGAGTGTCCGCGTATCCTCTCGGCGTCTCCACTGCCTCTGATATCTCCTGGAAGCTGGCAAACAGGCGCTGCGCCTCCTCGCGCTGCCCCTGAGAGGTCGCTTCGTCGCGGCACCCCATGAGGCCCTGAACGGCCCGATCGCCGTCCTGCCGGGTGAACCTGTCCGCTGGGCGGGGCCTTCTGGAGCCCTGGGCGTCGAAAGGTGGGCCCTTCGCAGATTATGTTTTTTTCGTGTTCCGCGCGCCCCGCATAGTGGGCCATCAGCGCGGGGCAGTCGTTGTCCGCCTCGCACTGCTCGAGGATGTCGCTCGCGATGCGGCCATCGAAGGGGCCGCGCGAGTTAGAGATCTGCACGGCCTCGACGGCATGCTTCGTCATCAACGGGTTCGTCCACGCGAGGGACGCATTGCTGCTCTCAGATTAACGGCGGACCGCCATCACCTCGGCCGAGTGCACATCCACGGTATCGGCGCCCTCGCGATCCCCCCGATCCAGCGCCCGTCGAAATCGGCTCTTCTGAACCTAGTAGTAGATAATCTCGTCGGTAGGCAAGCGCCCTGCCTGCTCGGCTTCCGCAGGTGGCGGTTCCAACTCTTGTTGCTGTCGAAGGATGCGCGTGCCCTCGCCATGCGCCCGCTTCGCCCCAGGCTCCGCCATCTCCGGCTGCGTCTTCTGGATGCGAGTCTTCTCCACGCCCAGGGTTCATGACAGTGGTAGATGGCACCGCTGAAGAAGACCCCCCGTTGGGCGAGGTCATCGACGTCGACCAAGACGCAGCAGTCATCTCCCGCGGGGACTCCAGGGATGCCAACGCAGCCTTGGCGCGCCACATCCTTGCGGAGACGCGCTGGCGGTCCAAGGGCCCGAGGGTCCTCCGCGCGGGAGATCCCGTCGGCCACGTGGCTCCGCTTGGTCGTCTAATCAAGAGAAGTCAGTATCTCCGCCAGGGCATCCGGCTGAACCTCCAATCCAGACTCTCCTGCGAGCCCCCTGCAGGCCGCGAATCTAGCGGCGCCGTCCGAGGCCCCATCACCCATGCCCCCCCGCTCGACCATTCCGCCTGGCGCGGCGATCTCGAGCCGCGATCCAACATTCTGGCCCCGACGGCGGGCCAAGACGGACGCGCTGCCCTCGGCGTTGGCGACCAAGACGTAGATGCCGACGGATCCGACGTTCCTCGGCCTGGGGGGTGCTGGCCTGGAACCAAGTGACTGCGTCGCAACGACGGGGTCGGTGGTCGGGCAGACGAAGACGCGGCAGCTCGCCCCTCGGCCCCAGCCGAGGCCTTGGGCTTTGCCTCGAGCACTGCCTGGAACAGCTGCGGTGTCTCAGGCTGCTGCGGCTGCTCCGTCCGGCAGTCCACCGCCGGGGCCCTCTTCGCGCTCGTCGTCGCCGCCGCTGGAAACAACCTCCACGGCCGACCCCGCGTGCTTGATATGGCTCTTATTCCTCTTCCTCAAGGTCGGCGGCGCTTGCCGAGGTCAATTCGACCCAAGCGCTGCCGAGCGGGTTCTCGCGACAGCCTGAGCCCTCGGCGACTTCTCCCAGATCGGCCAGCGCGCAGAAGTTGGACCTCTTATCCTTGAGGGCACATTGGATCCGATGGGCACGCGCCCGCAGCATCTCCTTGAAGCGCGGGTTCCAAGCGTTCCAGGTGTGGAAATTGCACGATGACTGCGAGAGCTTATCCAACCTGGCCCGTTGGATCTGCTGCGTCTCCGATCTCACCGCAGAGCGATGGAGAAAATTCGGAAGTCCCTCCGCGCGGCCAACTTTGCCATATTTCAGCCGCGTCGGGAGCCACGATATCTTCGACGCTGGTCTCGAGCACTTCGAGCTGCTTTCTCGCTTGGATGAGGCCTGCCTCCGCTTCGCGTCGCTGCCGAACCAGATTATTCACGGCTCGCATCAGTTCCAGCTAGCGGTGAAGCTTGATCAGCTGAGCACCGGCGCAAGTATGGTTCCCCTCTGCGCTTAGAGCGGAAATCACCTGCTCCCGACACAGCGGCCCTCCCCATGCGTGCCCACATTGTCCGTGACGCACTTCAGTCGAAGAAGCTCCGCCTCGAGATGTTGACCGGCGGCCGTCAGGAGCGTCGCGCGGCCTCGAAGATAGCGAATGTTCGGGAGAGGCACCCAAGGCATCCAAGCTCTGAACGCGCTCGCCACGCGACTGGTATACTACATATTATTATGGGCCCGGTTTAAATTCAAGCGCGCGCTCTTTTCCAGCCGCAGGGTGGCCATCGCCAGCGCCCTGCATCGGCCCGTGCTTCGCCTCGTCGTTCTCGGCGCCCTCGCGGGCGGCGACGCCAGGGCCCCCCCCGATAACTCCAAGCGACGCTGAGCGCAAGGGTCCCGCGCGTTGGTCGACTCGCGCCGTTGACTGCGCAACTCCTCGGCGACGTCAGGAGATGCCTTGAGCGCCCATGCCCGCGAGGTCGTCGCTCGCCTCCAGTCGCTTCTCCTCCAGAGTTCCCCGAAGAAAGTCCCGATGCTCCTCGCGCGCTGAGGTCGCCTTTTTCCCTCTCGGAGCTGATGGGAGAGAGCCATGCTGGGGTGGTCGGAGTTAGGCGCAGCTGGCGCTGAGCCCTCGGCGGAGGACGAGGCGACAAAGCCAATCTTATACAGCTTTGAAGACCAAACCGGCGGTCGTCGGCCTTAAAAAATAATCATTAATAATAACAAAAATAAAAGAATATAAGACAAAAACAAACAAGAAAAAAGAAATAGGCAAAAATCAATCATCAAAAAAAAAGGCAAACAACAAAAAAAAAACAATTAAAAAATAAAACAACGAACAAAACAACAAATACTCAAACAAAAACACAAGAAAAAAAAAAAAAACAAAACACAAAAGACAAATACAAGCCATAAAGATACCAGTAATAAGTCAAAAAAAAACAAAATGCAGTAAAAAATAAAACAAAAAAAAAAGTAAACTAAAAGAATCACAAAAATAAATAAAATAAATACAAACAAGACAAAAAAAAAAAAACAATAATCGTAAGAAAAGCTTTGAAGACCAAACCGGCGGTCGTCGGCCACTCCGGCCGAAAGCCCACCCGGGCCGGCCCCCTTGTCATCCGCCGCGTCGCAGGTCTCCTCGCAGCCGGAGAACTCCCCGTCACCGTCGAAGCCCACCTGTTCGTCTCCCAAACTGGATTCCTCGGGCGGCGTGGCTCCGCGGGCTAGGGGGACCCCGCAAGATGTAGGCGGCGGCGCATCACAACATGCTGACATGTACCCAACAGCTGCTGCAAGGGGAGGACAGGCGAGGAAATCGCATGTCGAAAAAGCATATGCGGTCGTGGGATGAGTCGAGGAAGCGGAAAGTTTTGGAGGTGTAGGAGAAGACGTAGGAGACGATCAGGTGGCAATCGGGGATGAACTATTCAAACTGTTCGGTCTCGGATTGCGTTTCCTGGTGGCCAATCGAGAAATAAGTATTCCGTTCCAAGAAGTCCTCTTCTCCGGCAGTACGTAATTTAGCCGTCCACATACGGTGTAATCGAAAGTGTACGTCGCTCTTCAGCTTAGTCAAACCATCCGTGGGATTCAGCTCACGTGGAAAACAACGACACTGACCACCAATATGTTCCAGATAATCCCGAACAGCCGCAATCTCCCCAAATGCTCTCTTTTCGGTGGTAATGAACTGTTCCCGGTTAGTACAATCGTACAGTGCCTGGGCGCTGGTCATGGTGATAATATCCAAATCGGGGCTTTGCTCCATGATCGCCGTCACCCGGACTTCTCGTTTCATGGTGTGTCGGAACCGCAGCTCATACCATAAATCCCGAACCACAAGAGTCCTAGAAATAAACAACGCTTCTTTGGCAACTCCTTCGGACATGGCGTTGGCTTCCACCGCGAGGGTAGAACTTCCAGCGCGCTTACTCTTGTGGGAGTGCCACGTGAAGATACTAACGTTTGATTTTTTGCCGGCAAGCAGGTCCTGATCTGCGGCGCAAGTAATGTTGCCTGTCTGAGAACGCCCCTGCCCTACACCCTTGAAGCCCATATCAAAATCGCACAAACGACCAGACGGAGTCGAGAGAAGGGTATGGGCTTGATGGTAACGTCGCACTTGCGTCCTTGAGGTGCCGCACGGCGTTGGCCTCGATAGGAGACTTCACCTTGCAATTGGGCGAAGTGCTGCTCAAGAGAGACGCGTCTCCAGAGCCGTTGGGCATGCCTACTCGGCACGTCCAGTTGAGTTCCCCACACAACCCACGCATAACAACAATTTCCTCTGGCGTTTCGGGGACCCCCGGGTTCGTGCAGCGTCCACGCGGTCAGAAAATGGGTCGTGCCCTTTCAGCAATATACCGCACCATAGAGATCGTGAAGTCGAAACTCTTGTGTTGGCGCAAAGCACGTCCGCCGTATTCTGTAGTATCATCCATGCATTTTCCGAATTCGAAGCGCTTGAAAAGGCACGGCATGGCATCGAAATGGGTCGCGGGTGGGTCGAGGGTGGGTCGCGGGCGGGTCGCGGGGTTGGTCGCGGGTGGGTCGCGGGTGGGTCGCGGGGTGGGTCGCAGGTCGTGGGTGGGTCGCGGGTGGATCGCGGGCGGGCCGCGGGCTGGGTCGCGGGTGGGTCGCGGGCCGGGTCGCGGGGGGGGGGGCGCCAAACAACAACAACAACAACAACAACAACAACAACAATCATTTTACCCGAACGCTCAGTGTTCTCCCCAGTGCCAGGGTTTTCATGCGACGCCAGCCAATACCCCCACTTCGTGGGGGGGCAATGCAAGCTCTACCAAACATCCACACGACTCTAGGGAACCACCCACACCCAGCTTCCCGCCCTATGACGTCAGGACACTTCACTTCGTGGCGCGCGGACGATCGTGGATACTACACTGGCGTGGAGTACACACCCGCAGAGGTTGATCACTTGTTTGGGCCCCGCATGTGCCCCGCGTCGTGCATTCGTTGCGCATGACATAGAGAGAGCAAGACAGAGAGAGAGAGAGAGAGCGAGACAGAGAGACAGAGAGAGAGAGAGAGAGCAAGACAGAGAGCCAGAGGAGAGAGAGATAGAAAGAGATTCGTCACATGTGTGAGGCAACCTGAGAAGATGTGGTACACGGTACACGTGAGATGGTACGCACTGCCAAGATAGTTGGTCACATTTTTGGGGCAATTTCCTGGGGAGGCGATGAAGCAGAGAAAGAGCGAGATAGATGTGTTCATATGATAGATATGAAGCAGAGAAAGAGCGAGAGACATAGAGAAGGAGAGAGAGGAGTCGGTCACATCTTTAGGGCAACTTCCTGAGGGATGTGGGAGGACACAAGAGAGAAGGTATCGATGTCCCGATGGTTGTCTCGATGGTTGCCCCGATGGTTGTCCTCATGGTTATGGTTGTCCCGATCGTTTTCCCGATGCTGGTCCAAATGGTTGTCCCGATGGTTGTCCCGATGGTTGTCCCGATGGCTGTCCGTCTGCGATGCAATGTTGTCTGTTTCTGCTGTTATACAGTCCCAAGGATGACGCATGCATTGCTCATACTTTCTCCTGCTTTCGCAAACAGGTCCAGTCACACTATGAATATGCACGAAGCATACTAAGGCGACTCGTCCTCTGCGACGTCGCGAATACGCTTGGGTACACGGCTGCCTGGCTGATGCAGGTGCGGGCCTGGCTGATACCCGTGCGCTCCCAAATGGCCAATGATATTGCCGATACGCCTGCTGGCGGGAGAGCCGGGGCTCGCATACGGCAGTGCGAACGCGGCCACGACATGCGCCGGCAAGAGCGGGTAATCGAGCATGTTCGGATACTCGTCGCTCTGACCAAAAGACCGCCATACGGGCAACCACCACCACTGGTCTTGACGCGGATACTTTATCTGGGATGGTATTATTTGACAGGGATGATATGTGCCGCATGGTATTATTTGACAGGGATGATGGCCCTGGCAGGTGCGCAAACGTTGTCGCAGAAGTTCGAAAAAGTTGCTCGCAAAAGCCCGTTTGACAGAATTGTTTAAAAAGTGTTGGTTTTCCTACGAATCCGCAAGAGCGCGCGGAAAAACATTTTGACAATTTTTTCTTAAAAAACCATTGGGTTTTTGATGTTTTTATGTTAAAATCGCTACGAAACCTAAGGTTTTGGAAGGATTTCGTCTTGCGCGCACGAATGTCCACTTTACCTTATTTTTTGCAAGGGATTCTTGCAATTTGATCAAGTAAGAACAATAATTTTCATTTTATAGTGTTTTTTGCAAGGGAAAACGGAGTACAACAAAACAACCGGATCCGGTAATAATTCACTTTTCTGAAGCTTTCGCTATAAAATGATGAAAATGTAGCTGCGGCCTAGGTTTTGGAGGGGGGTCGCGCACCAGGGGTCCCAACAATA